AATGCAAATTTTTCACATTGTATCCTCAATATATTAAAAATATTACAATATGATAACTTTTATTAGTTTTCACTACTCGTTTCATCACCGTCAATGAGGTGAGTTTTAATAGAAGATAAAATAAAGGTCACATTGTAACTTTTAATACAGTAACGGTGCAATATAAAAAAAATTCATCTTTCAGGATACAAAATAGGAACGCTGAAAACTTTTGGGGGTGAAAAGTGAGATTCTCCCTTATCAAATTAATAAGATTAGTTACCATGTTGGACCAGTGCGCCATCAGTTAACTAGATTACTTTAAGGGCTTGTAAGTTTGATGGGTTTGGGAGGATATGTAAGGGTGGGTTTAAGTAAAATAATTTAATAGACAAATTAATCTCATATTTAGCTAAGATTTTTAAATTCGAGATTAAGATCTCAGCCAACCCAAGATATAATGGTAAAATATATTTTTACCCCTAATCTACCTTATTACAAAGAATTAGATAAGGCCATTTAATCAATTACATAATAAATGTTTAGTTATAATTGTAATTAATTCGTGGATTCCACTTGTGTTTATGCTAGTTACAAATCAAATGATTGTATATAATTTATGAATGAATCTCATGTACAAAAAAAGGGGTTTTGGGTTTGAAAGAGTTTGTTAAAGTGAAAATTGTTGAAAACTATACATTTTAGTATTCAATTTGTAAATAAGTTCAGGTTTGCACTTTTAAAGGTGTTAGGTTTAACTTAACTAAACTTTTAAAGTAAGAGATCCAAACTAGTTTTTCTATTTTTTTTATATGACAATATTATCCCTTGTACCTTGGACTTTATCCAACCAATAGTCATTTAACACAGTTTTACCGTCTCACTCGTCGAGACGATTCAATCTGATTACAAAGACTCCAAACTGTCACCACCGCGACACTCTCTCGCTTTCCCAAGTTATTATATTCTCTCTCTCCCTTAATTTTGTCGATTTGACATCTAATTATGCGAGATTGGATACAAAGCTTTCTGGGACTGTTAACCTTAGATTCAAATCGGCGTGATTGTTGAAGAGATCGAATCTGTCTCAATTTCCACAACAGCAATTGACAGATAGGCAACGTTATCTCCACCAAGAGTGCCGCAACATCGAACGCCAAATCCGTGGTTTATTATTCTCCTCAATTGAAAACCAAAGCCATTCAATTGTTTCTTCGTTTGCACGATGAGAAATTGAGATGATTGAATTTCGTTTTGTTTAAACTGGGCTATAACTTTTCTATTATACGTAAGAGTCTTCCTTTTTTTGCTGATCTATGTCAGAGTCTCTTAATATCAGAATTCTGGGGGTGAAATTAGGAAACTATCCTTTTAGTTTGTACTAATTATACTCTTGTCCAGAAGATCTTATAAATTCTAATCAATCCCTGTTGACTAACAATCAGTTGACGGAAGTGACTAAAAAGGTCCGGTTTGATGAAAATTTGCTTCAATTAGAATTGTAGATTCTCAAGATTNCATGTACAAAAAAAGGGGTTTTGGGTTTGAAAGAGTTTGTTAAAGTGAAAATTGTTGAAAACTATACATTTTAGTATTCAATTTGTAAATAAGTTCAGGTTTGCACTTTTAAAGGTGTTAGGTTTAACTTAACTAAACTTTTAAAGTAAGAGATCCAAACTAGTTTTTCTATTTTTTTTTATATGAGAATATTATCCCTTGTACCTTGGACTTTACCCAACCAATAGTCATTCAACACAGTTTTACAGTCTCACTCGTCGAGACGATTCAATCTGATTTCAAAGACTCCAAATTGTCACCACCGCGACACTCTCTCGCTTTCCCAAGTTATTATATTCTCTCTCTCCCTTAATTTTGTCGATTTGACATCTAATTATGCGAGATTGGATACAAAGCTTTCTGGGACTGTTAACCTTAGATTCAAATCGGCGTGATTGTTGAAGAGATCGAATCTGTCTCAATTTCCACAACAGCAATTGACAGATAGGCAACGTTATCTCCACCAAGAGTGCCGCAACATCGAACGCCAAATCCGTGGTTTATTATTCTCCTCAATTGAAAACCAAAGCCATTCAATTGTTTCTTCGTTTGCACGATGAGAAATTGAGATGATTGAATTTCGTTTTGTTTAAACTGGGCTATAACTTTTCTATTATACGTAAGAGTCTTTCTTTTTTTGCTGATCTATGTCAGAGTCTCTTAATATCAGAATTCTGGGGGTGAAATTATGAAACTATCCTTTTAGTTTGTACTAATTATACTCTTGTCCAGAAGATCTTATAAATTCTAATCAATCCCTGTTGACTAACAATCAGTTGACGGAAGTGACTAAAAAGGTCCGGTTTGATGAAAATTTGCTTCAATTAGAATTGTAGATTCTCAAGATTTTTCTATTTTTGTTGCTTGTTACCTCTTTCTCTATTGGTTTGTTTAGGGTTTACGCGATGTTAGTTTTGGTACTTGTAAGCTTCGATGTCGTCACCATTAGATGAAGATTTGCTTTAATTCGAACTTAAAAGAAAATAATGAGAAGGTTATCTTACTGTAAAATTTGATGAATATTTGAAGGTATTAGTCTCACTTTAATTAATTGTGGCAGTGGAAAGATTATATTATATTTTTTTACCAATTGTATCATTAATTAATTATAAACTATCCACCTAACAGTAAACTACTTAACACTAAAATAAAATTTTCAATTCTTATGCAACAGTGAACTTCCATTCACAATATATAACAAAACATATTATTTTTTAGTTCAGTGTTGAATAGTTCACTATCGGGTAGTTCAGTGTTGGATAGTTTACTATTAGGTAGTTCAGCATTGGATAGTTGACTATCGTTGAGTATTAGTGTCACTTTAATTAATTGTGGTAGTGGAAAGATTATATTATATTTTCTTTACCAATTATATCATTAATTAATTATAAACTATCCACCTAAGAGTAAACTACTCGACGCTAAAATAAAAATTCAACTCTTATACAACAGTGAACTTCCATTCACAAATATATAGCAAAACATATTTGGTTTTTAGTTCAGTGTTGGATAGTTCACTGTCGGATAGTTCAGTGTTGGATAGTTCACTGTCGGTGGTAGTGGTGGGATATGGTAGAATTTTTAAATAATCTTTTTCATTAAGGATATTTTTATTAACTGTATATTTTATGAACCTTTTTGCCTTAAAAAAGTCCAAAGTGAACCTCTTATCTTAGAAGTGCATAACTTTGTACTTGACGCTTGAGTTTCCTTTGTTGAAAGGGATCCAATCCCCCCATTCTAGAACCATTCAAATGTGCTCTAAGTAGCCAAAACTTTTCTAAGCAATGTTTATAGTAAGGGTGGGCAGGTTGATAGGTCAACTCTAATCTAACTTAGATATATAATTTTTAACTCTAACCTTCACCCTAACTCAACCTCAACTCGAGCATTGTTCAAGTTAAATTCGGATAGACTCGGGTTGAATTCAAATTACTTAATTCAAACTGATTATGAATTAAAATTCGGATTGAATTTGGGTTAGAGTTTTTTACATCAACCAAACAAGACGAAATTTCAACGCATAAACACAAACAAAGAGTGATCACAACCCACAGTAATAGGATTCATTTTAGTGATCACAACCCACAGTAATAGGATTCATTTTATTGACCCACGGACCTTTTGTATAAACTTTTTTGTATAAACTTCAAAATTAACCAGTTGAAAAAATACAAACCAAAAGGTTTTCTCCAACAAACCCCCAATTTCTCAACACAAATCAACTAGCTTTGTTTTCAACTTCTCAACCCCGATCAACAAAGCCCCAATTTCCAACACAGATTAACAACAGAGAGCAGATGGAGTGGCACAAATCAACAACAACATCAGTCGCAAAGGAGAGAGGTTGAGTGAGAGCCTGAGTGGCGAAAGAAGAGACTAAGAGAGTAGCGGAGGAAGTGAGCGAGAGAATGAGAGTGGCTGAGCGAGAGAATGAGATAGACTGAACGAGAGAATGAAGGAGGGGCTGAAAAAAAGGAATAAAGAATGGAGAACCCTAGTCATAACCCGTGCCTGAAAGCATGATAAAATATAAAATTCGACCGTCTAAAATATTGATCTTATTATATTAAATATTTTCAACATGTATATATTATCGTATATGAATAATATTTAAAATAAAAATTATATTAATTACAAATTAATCAAATATTAAATAATTAAATATATGATAAAAAATGAGTGATGTGATATTTTAAGAGAAAATATATAAATAATTAAACATATAATAGAAATGAATGATGTAATATTTTTAGAAGAGAAAATATATAAAGGATAAAAATTCAAGTTACTATGTGTTTTATTCTATATATATATATAAATTGGGTTTGAGTTGAACATGATAACCCGAGTACTACTCAAATTTAATTCGGATTGATATTTTTCAACTCAAACCCAACTCAAGTATTAAAATTTCAGCCGAAATCCTCTTTTTGCGGGTTAAGTTCAGGCTTATCAGCCCAAGTTACACTCCTAATTTCCACATGTTTGATATGTGAGTTTGGGTGGGATAAAATGATTGGATCAAATCATAGTCCAATGGATTCATCGGTGAAAATACAAGTTTGCCCCAAATGATACATGTATTTGGGTGGGGATTCACATCTATCATCTAGCTTTTCGTTCTTTCTGAAAATTGAATACCTGTATATGCACAAGGGATTTTAAGAACCCACACATCTAATTTGAAGCTTATAGGGGCATTCTGATCAGCTAGTGGTTCCAATAAGAAAAGAATCAGTGGAGTAGATATGCATTTTTCCCGAAATAAACAGTGAGACAGTGGCGATTTATACGTAAAGTGAACTAGCTNATAGGGGCATTCTGATCAGCTAGTGGTTCCAATAAGAAAAGAATCAGCGGAGTAGATATGCATTTTTCCCGAAATAAACAGTGAGACAGTGGCGATTTATACGTAAAGTGAACTAGCTAAATTCTAAGGACAAAATAACAATACAGAATAGAATGACATAATGCACATAGCAACATTTTATTCAACTTCAGTTGTCCATAATTCGCTAGATATACATTATAGAGGTAACAATAGAACATTAAACCCACGTCGAGGTTTATGGATCCTCCTGAGCGACATAGTATTTGTGTGCTTAAGGTAATAAATTTAGAACATTTACCTTTTGTGAATACACCAGCAAGGCTTTTTCCGGTAAAAAGGTCACCCTCCGAGAGACATTTTCATATGAAGTCCCCCTCTGGTAATTGCTGTTTTAGTGTCAATTACACCCTTTTTGCTCCTATGTGTTACATAATGCCTCCTTTAAACGGCATAAATTATTCGATAATACAATGGAACCTGTGCCACATTTGGGGTCTAGCCTGGACAGCAGAAATTCGTCGATCAGCGGCCCTCTTTCAATAATGCTATATAGATTACGACTCAGATCACATCTGGGGTCTTGTCTGGACAACATAGATTTTTCCATCCCTCACTACANTGGAACCTGTGCCACATTTGGGGTCTAGCCTGGACAGCAGAAATTCCTCCATCAGCGGCCCTCTTTCAATAATGCTATATAGATTACGAATCAGATCACATCTGGGGTCTTGTCTGGACAACATAGATTTTTCCATCCCTCACTACACCTTCAATGTCTTGAGGAGATCCATAAAGCTCCTCAATTGCATGTCCGGCACGAGCAATGCTAGAGAGGATTGATTTACAGAAGTTACCATCATTGATCAGCCGGTCAGACGAGTAATCTAGCACAACTTTCTCCTCTTCATCCATCGGCACACTGCAGAAAGAATTTCAAGGAAACCCAATATGACAACTTTAAAGAGTAATATAGCACAACTCATAAATATATGTCCAGGAGGAATTTTATAAAAATTCTGGCCAGAACAACAGATCAAAGAGGTCAAATACGCAGATGAGCAAGATTAAGGATCTTACATTGCTGGCCTGGTAAGGGAGACTAAGGGAATGAGACTACAATACAGTTTATCAGCCTAAGATAACTTTTAGTAACTTCACCTATCATAAAGGCCTGCACCGGCATAACCTTCCAGATCTTCACCATTGGAATCAGATCGAAAGATGATAGATCGTCTTATGAAAAGGCCAATGGGTTTGCTTGGGTAACCCAAAACCTGTAAATTTTCAAATTCATGAGCACAGACAAGTCTAGATTTACTGAAAAATAACACTCCAATCAAGCAGAAGGGTGAGCTTTTGTTGCCTTTTACACAGACTATTCATCTAGTCACGAGAGGACCACGACATGTGTATGAAAAAAATAAAATAAAAATGAAAAAGATATGTATCATGGGGATTGATACACATAATGCAACTAAGAATAGTTATACCAAGTGTATTGGTAGCTTGACAGAAGTTAAAAAAGTTCAACATAATGTGCCATTATTATTCCAATGATCACCAGTTAAGTACATAGATGAATTCTCCAATTTTTCAAAAGATGCCGTGTTACTCACCTGGGGAGAATCAAGATCATTCTTCTTGCAGGTAAAACTCAAAGCACGACCTGGATAAGCTCCAACTAGAGTTTCTCCAAGGCCCTTCACCACCTGTGTTAGAAAGCAAGACCTATGAATATCTTCTGCTTCTTTGGCTGATCATTTAAAATATTTAATAGAACAGAACAGAAACAACTTCTAACAAAAAGGAAGCATTAATGTCCACTAGAAGTTGGTCTTATGGCATAATTATAAATCAACATAGTTGAAATTTATCCTACAATCGGCTCTCAGCCTGATGTCAGCATTTCGTGAATTAGTGCCATGTTTATGGGAGGCCTATTTGTGGCAGGGGAATGACAAGCCATGCTGTTTACAATTAATTCTAAATAATAAGACGAAGAAATTCAATGGAACAGGGAAAAAAGGTGATATGCATTGCCTCAGTATATATCTCTGATGCATCTCCTGAAGATGGGTTGGTAGTATGAATGACAAATGCGTAATCAGCATTTATTATTTCCTGAACGAGGACAGCCATGCAAAGACAGTCATGATCTAATTTTACTTTCCTTGTGCTGAAGTATGCTCTCTCATTCCATTTTGAAGCCCACACCTGAAAAATGGCAAAAAACAAAATATAAATGGCATTCCAAAAAACAAAAGGGCTTCAAGTAGGCGTAATTGATAAGCATAGAAATCCATACGATACAAAAATATGGATATCTTTGACGGACCCAATTAAAGTGCCCATGCTCTAAATATGTAAAGAAAATTTTGGACTCTCAAAATCCATGACAAGAGAGGAGAAAAATATGCCATCCGTGCACCATTTGGGAGTTCCTTTACTGTAAAATAACTGATTGTATTTGCATCAACAAAGATCTGAGGCATGAAAACAGGGGGCTTTTGTTGCTCTCCTGTGCAGCGAAATGTAGTCTCACCTTTTTTATAGCCATCCATGCTTGTTCCCATCGCTGCTGACCTTCATCACCAGGCCAAGGCATGCCAGAACTTTGCATCTTGCTTTTGAGCTCTTCCACCTGAAATAACTCTTACTATAATGACTGTGTTCAACTCTAAGCTCATAGTGCTGTTAAGGATCTACTCACTATACTTTTTAATATGTTTTACTTTATAGTTAGTATTTAAATTCCATGGAGTCACTCTTCCAAGAAAAGATATTAGCACATCTCTAATCTCAAGTTCATCTTTACACGGGCCCGAGAAAAAGGTATAAACCTCAATAAATGTGGTTTGGGTGCAAAATCTAGTGGTGTTAAAACATGGTTTTTAGCAAAAACTACAAAAGTACAAATGACAAAATACTTCGGTGATTTTATAGCATTACTACTATCTTGCTTTCCTACATAAACTGCCAATTGAAGAAAGGAGGATGTGTATCTGTCTGATCTCACAATTATCTGAAATGAACATGTTTAAGAAACAAAATTCACGTTACTAGTATAAAAGACATACCAATTGGGGTGGCGCTGCAAGCTCTAAAACTGTCTTGCGTATCTCACCAAGAACACTGAACTCTCCTCCTCCTAACTTATTCTTCAGAAACTGCAACCTTTCTGCTACAACCTGCCAATTTATTACATTACAATGACAAGCTCTCCCAATTTATATTTATGAGGGGGTTAGACATGAAAAGAGAGAATATCACAAAAAGAATTCCCAAAAGAGGGATATTCTATATTTGTTGTGTTACAGTGAAAAATAAAGAAAAAGGGGGGGGGGGGGATAATTTATTTTGTTGATGAGTAAAATACATGAATATTATGCCCAGAAAAGCAAGGTCAGTGGACATTAGCAAGGTCGGTGTGACAGTTTTCTTTTCAAACTTTCCAGGGTAATGGCACATCAATTTTATCTATTTTCTTATTTTTTGCTGGGGAAACTATTGAATGATAGAACATCTATCACAACCAGACTACACATTACTCAAAAATGATTTAAGTAACCTCTCTATCTCTCTCTACGTGGGTGTGACTGGCAAGTTAACACAAAATGTTTTGGAATATGCGCCTAGAAGATTCAAGTGGATTTAAATCAGTGGCATGCACTTTAATCATGAATCATGATAATAAACTTCACTGCCTATCGATGTTGGGGTAAACACCCAAAGCCCAAAGCAATCCTGAGCTAGCAACCATCAACAGTGTAGTGTGGGTGCATCTTAATGATGGCTCTTCATATTTCCTCTCTAATTGTTTCAAATAGAATTACACCAATGGATATACACATACATGATTATGGAATTAGTCGACCTAACTATTTTTCTGATTATAACCTGAAAACCCTACCCAGTCAAAATCTCTTAGGTGGTTGTTATAGTGACAATTTGAGAGTAGTAAAAAATTTGAGAAGTGGAATTAATTATGATGCAACTTGGCCAGTTTATACCTCTGTCATATAATATAGATATAGTCAAAAACTATTGTGACTGATGTTTTATGCCACCACATGGATACTAAAAACTGAGTTTTAAAAATGAGGAAAACCTGATTTAAGTGATGTGAAAGAACTTTCTCAAAAACTCCAAACGGAAGAGCAACTGAAGTAGGGATCCCAACCCAAGATGGCACTTTTCCTTTCAGATATGCAATGTTGCGGGATTTAGCTCCAACCTAGGCAAATCAAAATCCTGTAAATTACACTAACTAAAAATAAAGAAAACATGAATGCAGTAATGCATTCGTATGAATTAATTTGAATAACTCTAATTTTAGATAACTCAGTTTACAGAATGAGTACAGAAAATATAAAATTATCATAAATCTAAATTGGCATTGCAAGCCTAACCATTTCGCTTGTGAATTCTTCAGATGATATGGCATATTTACCCCCAAACTGCTTCCTGACAAGAGTTACAGACGATGAAGGACCATCTTCTTTCAAGTTAGTTGAACCTGTTAGATCGGTCTCTTTCACCTCACTAAGATCAAAGTCAGAAAGAAAGCATAGATTAAGTAACTTCTTGTATGCATTTTAATGGAGCAATGAATTTCCTATATACAAATGCATTGGACTTCAACTGATATGTCATTTCATTACTCATATTCCATGACACAGAACATCCCTGACAATTATTTAGGTGGATTTACCTATATTGTATATCTGCAGATGTAGGCTTTAGGCACAACAATTTCCCTTCATTTGCTTGGAATTCAGCCAAAATCGTGGGATCAAAACATGTGGCAAAGCAAACCTGGCAAGATTTGAACAATTATCTCAAATATCACACATCACAGTCATTCACAACAGTAATCCATCAAAATACAGGCTAATTTTTCATTGTTCAGAGCTACCTTGCTATTTCTCGCTCGAACAGACACATGAGATAGGACATCTGGCATGTCAGGTGTCAGCACAGCAACTGTACCATCAGGAATTTCCTCCTCTCCTTTTACAGATTTGGCAATCAAAATTGTTGGCTGTCCATAAGATTTATTCTGAACAGAAAGCAACTCATCTACCACAACAACATATCCGATAGCTTCGACTGGACTGATAACTTGCCAACTGATGAGGTCAGCCAAAATTGCATTAGAAGTCCACTCATATCTTAAGTTTTTAATAGAACTACATAGATTGTTTTCTTTTCTTTCTTTATTTCTCTTTTCCAGGCATATACAAACCTAAGGATGAGCTTCAAATTATTTTGTCAGACCATAAAGTTGATTCTTTTAGTGACCAGAATTGATAAGAGCATATCACCACACACATGTAAATAAGTAGTTGTTAATTGTTTGAGATTTTAGTGGTATTTGAAATGGTATCAACCTTCCCAGATTAGCAGTTTTCCGAAGAATAGGATCGAGTCGATTAAGAAGAGAGGATAATGACGCAGCTGATCCAGCACGAATAATTTCTTCTGTGAATATATTCACCTGTCAAGTAATTCTAAAGGTGAAATCAAGATAAATATAACATAAGAAAGTTGATGCTTAGATTGCCACATAATTAACGCACCGCCCACTGGTCCACTCCAAGCCTTGATCCAAGGTAATCTGCAGATGGCTGCAATAGTTGATGGTATGACTCCGCCTTGCTTGCGAGTGCAAGTCGGGTTCTGTCAAGGACTGATTTTGCAAATAATGCCCAATTACGATCTCCAGTCTTTGACATACTCAGCGCTTGATTCCATCCCTTAATAAGCAACAAAAAATATGCAAAATTATTATGGCACTGCTTCAACATCTAGAAAATTGTGTATGTCTGGTGACAGGAGCAAAAATATTAACTATTTACAAACACAATCTATTGACCATTTCTGGATACATACTAAAAACTCAAAAAACATGAGGCTGCAGGTTTGCATTTGAGGCTTGTCATTTTTTCAAATGTCAAAAATTAGGTTTGTACCTTGTCTACACCTCTTGCTTTCACTCTCTCTTGGTTTAAATAGGGACTGGTGATTAATGAAAGATGATTTACAGTACTACCAAATAATGGACCTTGCAAATATACAGGACTATGAGCAATTTAACTCTATATTAACATATTTGGAACCAAAGTAATTAATAATCCTTTTCATTAGTTGAGACCAAAATATTATGATACATGAAAACAAATGACCACAATCCATATGTGACAGAATATTAATCTATAATGGAGAGGACAGCTCATCCACTCTAGTGCAATGATGAGAAAAGAAAAAATTGTCTTTCCTATTCAAGTAAGCTGAATAGTTCGTAATAAAGTGTTGTATGTACTTGTCATTTTCGAAAATGCAATCAATATGTCACTGATTCCAGTATTCTGATTCTGTATGAGTAAGAATTATTATGTGTAACATTTACATTTTTCACGTTCAGTACACCTGTTGGATGATCATTGATAAAGCTGCTAAATTGTTGCTACTTACATTATCTTTTTCAACATTACATGCATAATATTTGCCAAACTAAGCCCTTTTGAATCGGACTACCATCTAAATAACGAAAACGGGGCTTTTAAGTAATGTGGTAGTTACCTTTAAGCAATAGATAAGATCCTCATTATCCACCGATGAAAGTGCGAGGTTTTCAAGAACAAGAGTGATGAAATACATAATTTTCTGCACATTACATGAAAAAGTTAATGAAGAATACACTTCAACACAGATAACTAAAAGCTATTATAAAGATTACAAAAAATGAGACAAACCACTAGAGGCAGAATCGTGGATAGCATATCCTACCTCAGGTTTAGCACTATTCAACTCTTCGTATCCCCTTTCAATTGCTGTCCTCACAGTAGAATCAAGGGCAATGTCCAAAAATAAAAGATCCTTTAGACGGATGTTCGGTTTAAAAAGCAATGGCCTAATCTCCTGACGAGCCTCCAGCAATCCCTGTGTTCAGGTATTTTTTTTCCAAAACATACAATCTTGACAGACAAGGTACATAATATGGCAATCCAGAAAAATGTCTACAAAAACTTTCACATACCTCGAGAAGAGCTTCCACATTCTTATCTTCAACATGTTCTAAGACAAATTGCAGCAATTCCTGTTTAAATCACAAAATAAATATCATACAAGGTGTGATTAACTTTTCACAGAGGTGAAATCACAGAGAAGGCTTCTTAAAATGGAATCCGGAGAACATTACCGGAAAACCAGAAGGCAAGCCTGATACAGGATTTACTTGCACACCAACCATAAAACCTTGTCCCTGGAGAAAACTGCCTTTTCAGTCAAAAGGTTAAGAATCAACATTAGGTAGACCTACAACACTCAGTTATTGATTTTACCTCCGATCTGTAGCCCATACAATTTGCAATTGCTGACTCAAGATCTGCACCTGAATGAACTGCCTGCACAAGGATTAAAGTTGGACAAAATTTTTTAACATGTCATAAATGACAACATATGTGTACAGAAGGGTAAAGAAAACACAAAGAAAACATCTGAGGATGAGGTTTCTGATTAATTGCAAACACACACACACACACTCTCTCTCCCCCCCCCCCCCCAAACCCCCCAAAAAAAAAAAA